AAGGACTGCCGTCGTGTATGTGGAGAGTTGGAGAGCGAGTGATTTCCCCCTTGGATTTCCCTTGTGTTCAGCTGATTCAGGAGTCCCACGTTTGAGTCCCCTGCATTGAACCTTAACATAACCATCCAGCCAGAATATGGACTCAGCGGACTCTGCCGCCCAGCAGTGCGTCCTCACGGCCGAGGAGGTTTTGGAATGCCACGAACAAATGCTGCAGCTCATCAATCACCAGTTTGCCGCTCTAACGCAGGCCCTTGCTCAGCGCGTACCCCTGGTAAGCCCAGCAGCCTCTCCTCCCTCTGTCTCCTCACAGTTACCGGCTTCTGAGCCTCCGGCACCCGGGCCTTTGGCTTCGCCTCATCCCACTCCCTCGGAGCCCCTGGAGCGAGCTTTGCCAACACCGGAACTCTTCGCGGGTGAGTTTCACAAGTGTGTCAGTTTTCTGACCCAAATAACAATGCAGTTTAGACAGTTGCGGAGGACATATGAAACTGACGAGGCTAAGATTGCCTTTTTTGTCCAGCTCTTACGCGGACCGGCTTTAAACTGGGTTTAAGCTGTTTTGAGAACTGACGCCAGCATCTCGTACCAGAATTCTTGCTAAATTTAAATGTGCAAAGCAGCATCGGGCGGAAGCGCCACGAGTGGCGGAAGAGATTCGGAGTCGCACAACATGGAGGAGGGTGAGCAACCTATGCAGCTGGGTCACTCTCGCCTTTCACCCAAGGAACGGCACCGTCGGTGGAGGGCTGATGAGTGATTTTATTGTGGCCGTAAGGGTCATGTTGCTAATGTTTGCCCGTCTCTGCCAAAAGGCCGCAGTAGAGAGGAGAATACGGGTGGGCGAGGTCTCTAGTTCACAGTCTCCTCCACGGCTCATGCTAGCAGCTAAATTAACGGTGCAGCTTCAGGTCCACCCTCTTAAGGCTCTAATCGATTCAGGGGCGGAACAGAACTTTATTGACGCTTTGCTGGTCCAACGATTTAATCTGAATTCCGAGCTTCTGCCACAGTCACTCCAAGTCACCGCCCTCAGTGGCCAGCGGCTTCCTAACATCACTCATATCACTGAGC